CGGAGGGCCGGTTGGAGAGGGCCGCTGGCCTGATTGGTGGAGCACTGCTTCATCCCCTGGGCTGTAAACAAGGGAGTCTCTGGGATCCATCCACACAGCTGCTTTGATACTGGGCTGTAACCTCAGGGCTGGGGTTCAGAAATTCCCATCTGCTTTAGCCCATGGACAGTAGAAATAAAAGGAGCCTGCCAGTCCCTATTATCACACAGATCCGGGTTCAACAGAGCCCTGGGGTGGACAACAGGGGCCCTGGATTGAGCCAGTGCCCAGCTCCTATTCGCAGAGTTCCCCTGACTCATCACCCTCTGCAGCGTTCCCCCGTCGCTGTCATTGACATGAAGCGTTGCATGACTGTCTCTGCTGGTTCCGAGTCCGAGAGCAGAGATCGCCATCTGTTCCGTCCTCACCACGCGTCTCTCTTCTTTAGGGCCTTTGCCATGATCACCTCTCCACCATCTCACTAACCCCTGTCTGGTGCTGATCTCTCCATCTCCTTCACCACCCCATCCGGCCTGCCACCACCCCCACCGTCGTCATCTTTGCAGCCCTATGCCGACACATCACGAAGCAACCTCTTGGTTCGCCTTAAACAAAGGAGTGATTTCCAGGGAGGGGGAGAGAGCTAGCCAGCCTGGATGCTGCTCTGCCACTCCCCTTCTCAGCATCGCTTTGTTGCTAGAGGAGTTGTTAAAACGCAGGTGCAGGCTAGAACATGAATTGCAACAGTGCACTTGTGTCTGTTTCCAGGCACCAGGTGTTCTAGTTAGTCCATGTGCCACAGAATTGTATAATTAACTCTTCAGCTGCTGAATAAAAAATATAGTGCAAAGGACGCATCGCTCTATCGCATGTTTAATTCCCACCCGTACCATTTACCCACTGCGGTGTGCAATCATTTATACCCGTGCAAAATGGCTATAACATGCTCCCAGTCCAACCTGGTGGCGTTTTGCGCTGGCGCAAAGACTACACAAGTGTGGCGAATTGGGACTCGCGGCGTCTCTTTCCTTCATCGTCCCTCGCCGACTGTCGCCATCAGCATCCATGTGTCTGTCGCTCTTGCTGTCCTCTAATGCATGGTGCAAATGCTGCCCGGTGGGGATGCTACGTCTGTGGGGTCCGCCTTTAATCTGCCACTCAGCGCATCGGCGCTCTCCACTTTGAAAGAGGCCCAGGCTTCCCGAGGAGGTCAGCACAGAATAATTATGGGGAGGATGGGGTTTCAGAGGAGGCTGTGATTTAGGAACGACTCTGATCCATTATTATAATAATAAACTCAAGCCGGGCACTTTGTCTGTCCCTCCAGAAAGCTCTCGGTGAAAGGCAGGATGGGCAAATGGGAGCTGTGAGATGAAATGAGGAGGTCCCCCGGGAGCCAGGGCTGCATTGCTCTTCCTGGAGCTGATCTTTCATAATTGGGTTTCTAGAGGCCGCCCGCTCAGCGCACTCCTCCTCCCGCCTCCTTGGGCCTAATTTCATAATGTGGCCGCTGATGGTGGGAGCAGAAGACAGAGGAACGTCATTCCGAGAAACTGTATCGCCTCCCATTTGATCAGTGAGAGAGGCACAGAACAATCAGACTTAGGAAGTCGGAGATAAAGTTACCTTCATTTGATCCATGGATGGAAAAGATTTACCTCTGAAAGCAGGAAATTTCATACACTTAAAAGTATATATATATATAATGTGTAAGCTGAGTTCAAGCTTTTAAATGCTTTCTGGCCCCTACTGATTCACAGGCAAACAGGTCCAGGCAGAGGGCCGGGGAGGGATTCCTCAGGTTGGATCGATTTTGATGTCGCTTTTCAAGTCCCATTTTTGATTTCTCTGTGTGTGGGGCTGTGTAAAAGGCCTGCCGAGAAACTCAAAACCCTGTGAAACTTGCCGAGGTTTGGAGATTATGGTGAGCACTAAACTCAGAGCAGATTTGCACCGAGGGTTCAGTAAAGTTCACCGGTCTTTGGAGCAGCGTTACACTCAAAACTGGGGCTAAGTCCACAGATGCCGCTGCAAATCCGCTTATTTTATGTAGTGCGGGCAAGAGATGGTCAAAGAGCAAAATGACAAACCTGATCTCTGAAAACGTTCCCCAAGAAAGGAGTTGATTTTTGCTGTGTGTGTGTGTGTGTGTGGGCCACCTTCTGTGTGTCTGTCCAGCCAGCCCCTGGCTTTTTGTTAACAGTGAGTGTGGCACAGATGTTTGTTTGATAGAAAATTCATGTAAGAGGTTGATTATTTGTCATTCTCCTGTTACAATTTTTGTAAAGTTTGCTGACCAATCAGGGAGCAAAAAAAAACCAATCGAAACCAACACCCAACAGTCACAACAACAACAAAAACAATTTAACCACTTGTCATAAAAGTAGTATAAAGAAAAGCCTTAAACTGTTTGGGTCCTTTATATGACCCTGGTATCCGAGCCCTTCACAATCTTTAATGGGTTTATCCTCACAATCCCTCTGTGAGGTAGGGCAATTATCCTAGTGGAAAGAGGGGAAACTGAGGCACGGGGAGACTAGGTAACTTGCCCAAGGTCATGCAAGAAGCCTGTGATAGAACAAGGACTTGGACTCTCATCTTTCAAGCCCTCGTGCCTGAGATGGGTCAGAATCCAGGTCTTTATAGTCCTAGTTGAGTGTACTATCCACTAGGCCACATTGTCTCCACCTCAGTATCATTCCACCCCACCATGATTATTCTTTATTGTATTGCAGTAGTGCCTAGGAGTCCAGTCATGGCCCAGAATGCCATTGTGCTAGGGGCTGTACAAACACAGAACAAAAAGACGGGGCCTGCCCCAAAGAACTTGTGCAGAGAGCACAATTCTTCACTAATTTTTCACTACAATCAGTTGGCTTTTTTGAGCCCTTATTACAATATGCTCCCGTTTCGCCAAAACCCTATTGTGCAAACCTCCACCTTATCCGAATCCCTTCCTCGTCCCCCAGCCTGAGCTATAGGGCGATAGATGCCCGCTGCAGCACGTATCTCATGCTAGGGGACATGGAAGGGATAATGCGGAGGTTTGGATAATAGAGCAGAGACCAGCGGCCAGGACTGCGCGGAGAAGGGGGACCACAAAGAGCCCAAGGCTGCGGGGGAGGTCACAGCAACCCCCTACTCTTGTCACTGAAGTGAATGAGTGGGGCTGTGACAACGGAGCTGCAGAGAGGAGTAGTAGCGGAGGGCCGGCGATAGCTGATCCCGGCAGGTGCGGGGTGCTGGAGGTGGGAGGTCTAGGGAGACTGTACTCCTGGTGGACAGAGCAGACCCACCCTGGGCAAGACTGCCAGGAGGAGGGAGAGGAAGACTAGCTCCCCGGTTGTGGGGGAGGCCCCCCTGCTGCTGAATGGCTCAGAATAAAATCTGTGTCCCACATGCTCTGCAGGTAATCGGGAATATTTTGGTAATAGTGTATTACAGGGGTGGCCCACCCGAGCCTGAGAAGGAGCCAGAATTTACCAATGTACATTGCCAAAGAGCCACAGTACTGTAATACGTCAGCAGCCCCCCCTCAACTCCCCCACCCACTCCCAGCGCCTCCCGCCCACCGGCAGCCTCACCGATCAGCGCCTCCCCCTCCCTCCCCACACCTCCCGATCAGCTGTTTTGTGGCATGCAGGAGGCTCTGGGGGGAGGGGGAGGAGCAAGGGCACGGCAGGCTCAGGGGAGGGGGCAGGAAGGGGTGGAGTAGGGGCAGGGCCTGTGGCAGAGCCAGGGGTTGAACAATGAGCACACACCCCCGCCGCCCGGCACATTGGAAAGTTGGCGCCTGTAGCTCCAGCCCCAGAGTCGGCGCCTATACAAGGAGCCGCGTATTAACTTCTGAAGAGCCGCATGAGGCTCCGGAGTCCACAGGTTGGCCACCCATAGGCGCTGACTCCATGGGTGCTCTGGGCCTGGAGCACCCACGGGGAAAAATTGGTGGGTGGTCTGCACCCACCGGCAGCTCCCCAACCCACCCCTCTGCCCCAGCTCACCTCCGCCTCCGCTCTGCCTCCTCCCCTGAGCATGCCGCCGCCTCCTGCTTCTCCCCCCTCCTCCCAGCGCTTGTGCCGCGAAACAGCT